GTTGACGGGCATTTCTTACATCGATGATCACCAACACTCCCCTAAAAATACCAGATCGGTGGTCCTTGAGAGCACTAGTGCTCCCTCCCCAAGGGCCGCCTTGATCGAGCTCCTTAGGGGAACACCAGTGCTTTCTTGCGAGCCTAAATAGGGGAGCACCGGTGCTCCCTTAGGGATGTGGTGCTCCCTCGGGCTCCCCAAGTGCTCTCGATTGGGAGTTTTTTTTTAAATTAATAAAAATATAATTAAAAATAAGAAAATTATATAATAATATTTTTAAAATTAATAAAAAATAGAATTATTTTTTAATATTATGATATTATTAAATTAATAAAAGTATTAATATTAATTATTGAACTTATATGTATAATAAAATATGTTTTTTTTAAAATAAAATATTTATTTTGAAAATTAATACAAATTCATGAGAACTTAAAATTTGAAAAATCGTGACCTATTAAAAAAAAAATTCCCTCGTAAAACCTCCCAAAGTTTTTATCCTCTAGGGTTTTTGACGTACTCGAGAGATCATAGTCTCAGCAACAACAATGGCGGAATCAATTTGCAGAGCATTACGGGACGGAGCCCTAGAAGGAGAACACGCGCCTGCTCTCACAATCAAGGACTCCATGGCTTCTCCCTTCGGCTTCCACGTGTTTTCTCACGTGCTCTCCCAGCTCTCCTCTTTCATTTTAGCTGGAAAATCACAGTCAGGGTTCGTTTTCCTTTTTTTTTGTTTTCTCAATTACCAAGCGAAATCGTTTAATTAATCCTATTAACTTGAATTTTGAGTAATTACTCTTTTTATTTTTTATTTGTTGGCAGAGGGCTTGTCGTTGTTTCGTTTTCCCGGAGTCCCTCGTTTTATTTGGAGATGTTGAAAAACAAAGGAATCGACGTCGTTTCCTCGGATAAACGGTGAATAATTTTTTCCCTTTTCTTTTTTTGGTTTCTAAATGAAGAGATGAAATTTAATTAATTTCCTGAAAAATTCCCTTTGAAGCCATAAATTTGAAATAATTTTTTTTTTTGGTTTTCAAAATTGATTTGTGTGGTGACATTGCAGGATTCAAATTTTGGATTGTTATAGTGATCCTCTTGGTTGGAAGGACCGGTTAATCGAGGCTGGAAACTTTACAGCTCTTTCGCGTGAAGCTTCAAATTCAAGTACTGCTAATGTTTTTAAGGATGTGAAACATATGGATAAGTTGTACAATTCAATTATTGAACTTGGCAGAGGTAAATTGTTTTATTACTTTTTTTCAAGTGTGAAAGATCAGCAGTTATTTTATCTGATAGTTGATAGTGAAAGATAATTATGGTTTTTGATGGGTATTATGGATTGTTGTTTATGTTTTTTTTTGAAGGACTGGTAGGAGGTGGGAAAAACCAGTTTTCTGTTGCCATAGACTCGGTAATCCTCTCTATTGTGCTTGTTAATGGTTGATTGAGTGAAATTTAAACTTTTTTATCGAGTAAAACATGCAATGTAGGGAAGAGTGAAAATATGAAATGAGCATACTGGCATGATATGATTTGTATTTCTTTCAAAATTTTTTGTTGGATATCTATCTGGGTAATTTTGTCTAACTTGCAAAGATGTACAATCAAGAAATTTGGAGCCTAGTGTGAATTTTGTCAGATATTCTATTCTGGTTTAATGCATGGAAACTTCCATTGAGTACAAATATGTGCCAAGAACAAGAAATTTTCATTTTTAATTTTTTATGTGAGGAGTACTATATCTTGCTAAGAAGTTGCAAGGTAGTTTCCTCCCTAATAACTACAAAGTACCAGCAAATATTATGAGGGATAAGTACAATCAGAGAGGAGAAAGGCACTGTACAGAATAGAATGTCCATTGTCCTCGTTTATAATGAGGAGCTTTTTCTTTACGTAAACAATGCATTGAAATGATTTGATATAAATGTTTTTGTTTTTTTTGGTTGTTTGGTAGAACACTTAGTTGTAATTTTGCCAGACAATGCTTTTTTGACGTACCTCACCAGAGGGGGAAAGAGTACTTTGTCTCATTTTGCATAAGCATGGCATGCCAGGCATGGTTTGTTGAAGCTTTGCAATCTCTTGGTTGATGCTCATTGACTCTGTTCTACAGTGCATTGGTTTTGAGTTACAGCTCATGCAGATAGAATAGCCCAAAGCTAAAAAAGGGAAAAAATGCTTGGGATGGACTGACAAGTTTTGGTGTTGGACTAGAATGAGATAAAGAGATAATATTCTGTTTCATTTACTGCATAGAACTCTATGAAAATACAATGACATAAGTAGGAAACATAGCAAGTCTATGACCAGTCTATGATCATCTACTTCTGTATTTATTTTATTAAGTAGATTTTTTTTTGTATTATGTACAAAATGTTTAATCACTGAATGAAATTTGGGCTCAAGTAACTGACTACTTTGGAATTAGCACTTAGTTGAGTTGTGTTTGCTTATTTATCCTGCTATTAGAATTTTCAACTCCAATTTTCTCCCTTTTATTGTATTCTTATTCTCTGATTATATTGGAATCTTCTATTTCTACCAGGTAGATGAAATGTTGAGACATGCCTCTACGTCATCAGTTGCAGGCCTGTTAAGCAATTTTCGTAGCCATGGTAGATATGTAACCTTTCTTCCTTATTCCATATCCCTGACATTGTTTTTTTTTTTTATATATATATGTAATATATATATATATATATAATTGGGGAAGGGGGGATTCGAACTCTGCTCTTTAGGCAGGGGATAATGCACCAACCAATGAGCCAAATGCTTGGGTGCATCCCTGACATTGTTTGGTTTTTAAGAAATTTCTCATATTTGCATAGCAATGTTCTGTGACTTTGGTTCTCTTGGAATAGTGGTTGGTGGTGTTTTATGACTTACCTTTTAAAGTTTTCAGTTGTGCTATTTCATGGTTGCAAAATCCTATAACACTTCATACCATGCCCTTTTGTTGATTTAAAAGGATAGCTTCCTTATTTTTAGTGGAAACTTTTGAAATTAATGGATGGTATTAGTGATATTGATACCTGCAGCATGTCCTTTTGGATGCTTTTTGCTCAGTGATATTTACGGTTGCAGATCAGGTTTCCAGTATCTTTTGGTTAGTACATTCAGACCTTCATGAGGCCAGGGTTGCAGCTGTTCTTGAATATTTGTCATCTATGGTGACCAGTTTAGAACCATTGCATCAACCAGCAAATGGACAGAGAGGTGATTTGGAAAATTTTTCTTTGATTGAGCATAACTTTAAGAAAGGAAAGTTTCATGTTAGAATTAAGCGGAGAAATGGACGTGTCCGCGTGATGGTAAATTCCCTCCTCTCTCTCTGTGGAACCTTTTTGTACTGATCAAGTTAGCAGCAGACTGACTTAATAGTTTTTAAACCTATATGTAGTCAGAAGAAGTTCACATTGAGCAGTCAGGCATCAGCTTTGCATCTTTGTCATCTGAAGGAGCAATTAATCAAGGTCTTGTGCCAAAGGTAATATATTAAATCTCTCTCTCTTCCCCTCCTCCTGCCCTTCCTTCTTCCTTTTTTAACTGCGAGGGTACACTAAAATCTGCATGAATGCTTTCCTGTGATCAATGAATTTGTGTTCTCCTCAAGCAAAAGAAAAATAATGACCAAACGACAATTGCATGTGCTGACAAACTACTATATGCATGAGTTCAGAGCACAATTTATCCAGTTCCAGTTGTTATAGGTCCAGATTAGTCTGCAGGTGTCATTTTGCGCTGAATTCATGTTTCTTTTACAGGTGCAGTTCAGTCTAGAGTTGTCAGAGAAAGAGCGAATTGATAGGGCTAATGTTGTTCTTCCTTTTGAGCACCAAGGTAGAAATATGGATAGGTTATGATTATGTGCTTGAACTTTAGCTTTGCTTGCTTTCTATTAGGACCTCCTTTAATCTGTTGGTGACTTTTATGGTATTGGAATCTCTCTTTCTCTCTCTCTCTCTGTATTCTCTTTTATTTGCTTTAGGTAATGGTAAATCCATACAAATTTATGATGGCCGAAGATCTCTGGCGGATAGCAAACATGAGAGACAAGTTTCTGCAACGGAGAAAATGCAGACAAATGAGGACTCTGGCGGGGGTGAGATTATATATTTCCGTGATTCAGATGATGAGATGCCAGATTCTGATGAAGACCCAGATGATGACTTGGATATCTGATTGTGCTTGCCCAATCTGCAATTTTGAATTCATGCCTGGCATTGCAAATTGGTATGTTTTCCTTTCTCTTTCTTTAACTGTGAATGAGTTAAATCTCTTAGGTATTACCATCTAAATGAAGTTGTATTTTCCTTTCAAAATGTGTAAATCTCTTAGTTGTATTTTCTTTAATGGATAGACAATATATTAACAACTTGTTCTGAACTCTGTCAATGCAGGTAAATGTTCTTTACAAGTATGGAAAGGCTCAGAATTTTGTTGTCAATGTGGTCACTCTCTAACCACAAGAAGAGGCTAGGGAACCCTGTCAGTGTCACTAGTAGAGAGTGGAACTGGAGAGTCCAAAAGCCAGTATTTGCAGCCAAAACGGACAGTGAAAGTGACCCAGGATGCCGGCTGGTGAGGATGCAGGGTGCATATGATTAGCATTGTCCTCAACCACAACCCTTTGTAATTCACTTCATCTGGTATTTCACCTGGTTAATGACATCAAAGACTTGATGATCCCGCCTCAAAGCCCAGAAACCCCGAGGAGGGATACAAGACGAATGACTAAATGAGATTAACAAGATTAACCTTCTGTTTTTGGGAAAAACAGCAATATTGTATCTCTTTCTTTTGGATGGGTTGGAATGGCAAAAACAGGCTGATCAGCAACAGCCCTAACAAGATTGCAGCTAACACCACTATCGAATACCATAACATAAAATCCATCCCAATGGCCATGTTAAGGACAGCCAGATAGATTGTTGTGTAACCTGGCAACTCCGACGATTTTACAAAAATCAGCATCAAGTCAGACAATATAAGGAAAAATTTTATTTTCAACAGAGGAGATATCCCTCCAGATGTATGGAAAGCCAATTTGAACCAACCAGAACAGCACGGTAGTATGGCAGTTGCTTAACAATTACACAGACTAACCATTGCCAAATGTTTGTTTTTATTATAATTATTTTTTATACATTTTCTCTTGAAGAAAGGGGAGTAACGCCCTCATGGAGTTCAAAAAAATGAGTGATCAAGTTTTAATTGGGAAATGCAATGATGCCATTAATCACTATCTATGGCTCCAAGTCCTCTCATTAGAAAAATCTCACGCCCCTTTTACTTTGTTTCTTCCCTCTATCCCCCAAAGATCACACACCTAGATTTTGCAACGGTTAAAGCATTTGAGTTTCCCGCCACCCCATTCAATTTTCCCAAGCCCTTCTCCTCATATGATAATGCAACCATCTTTCACACATCCAATTTCAATTCCTTTTACGCTAATTTACTCGACAGTTCGACCCGAAATGCCCACTTAACCCAAATCCATGCTAAGTTACTCCTTCTTGGTATCCATCATAACGGTTTTTTAATCACAAAACTCATAAACTCGGCTGTGAACCTCGGAGAAATCAGCTATGCACGTAAAGTGTTCGACGAATTTCCTGACCCAGATGTCTTTTTATGGAATGCAATCATTAGAGGATATTCTAAGTATAACATGTTTGCCAATGCTATTGAAATGTATTCAAGAATGCAAGTTTTATGGGTTAGTCCTGATGGTTATACTCTCCCTCATGTTCTTAAAGCTTGTGGTGGGTTACCAGGTTTTGATATGGGGCGGCGTGTTCATGGGCAGATATTCAGGCTTGGGTTTGAAAAAGATGTATTTGTGCAAAATGGGATTGTTGCATTTTATGCGAAATGTGGGAAAATTGAGAGTGCTAAGGTTGTTTTTGATGGGTTAGAGCTTAGGAATGTTGTTTCTTGGACTTCAATGATTTCGGGGTATGCTCAGAATGGACAGCCTATGGAGGCTTTAAGGGTTTTTGATGAAATGAGGAAAATGGGTGTAATGCCAGATTGGGTTGCTCTTGTGAGTGTTATTAGGGCGCATACAGATGTAGAGGATTTGGAACATGGGAAATCTATTCATGGTTGTGTGATTAAGATGGGGCTTGAATTGGAGCCTGACTTGCTCATTGCGTTGACTGCAATGTATGCAAAATGTGGGCAAGTAATGGTTGCCAGGTCCTTTTTTGATCAAATGAAGGTTCCTAATTTGATTTTGTGGAATGCCATGATCTCTGGTTATGCAAAGAATGGCTATGCTGAGGAAGCTGTAGAGCTTTTCCGCAAGATGATTTCCAACAATATCAGAACAGATTCAATAACTGCTAGGTGTGCTGTTGTAGCTTGTTCACAAGTTGGTTCTCTTGGGTTGGCTGGATGGATGGACAATTATATCAGTAAAAGTGAGCATCGAGACGATATTTTTGTCTACTCAGCTCTTATTGATATGTTTGCAAAATGTGGAAGTGTTGATATGGCCCGTATGGTCTTTGATAGAACACTTGAGAAAGATGTTGTCGTGTGGAGTGCTATGATTGTGGGCTATGGATTGCATGGTAGGGGGCGAGAAGCCTTGGACCTTTACCAATTAATGAAGCAAGCTGGTGTCTGCCCTAATGATGTCACTTTTCTTGGACTTCTCACAGCTTGCAACCATTCAGGTTTTGTAGGGGATGGATGGCGACTTTTCCACAGTATGAAAGACTATGGCATTGAGCCCCGCCACCAGCATTATGCTTGTGTGGTTGATCTTCTTGGACGTGGTGGCTATCTAGATCAAGCTTATGATTTCATTATGAACATGCCAATAGAACCAGGTGTATCTGTGTGGGGAGCACTTTTAAGTGCTTGCAAGATTTATCGCCATGTGACACTTGGAGAGTATGCTGCAGAACAGCTTTTCTCACTAGAATCTTATAATACAGGGCATTATGTGCAGCTCTCCAATCTCTATGCTTCTGCCAGAATGTGGGATCGTGTAGCAAAGGTACGAGTTATGATGAAGGAGAAGGGACTAAGCAAGGACCTGGGATATAGTTTGATTGAGATCAATGGGAAACTTCAAGCATTTCGTGTAGGTGACAAGTCACATCCACAATCTAAGGAGATTTATGAAGAACTTGAGTCATTAGAGAGAAGGTTAAAGCAAGCTGGATTTATTCCACATACAGATTCTTCCTTGCATGATTTGAATTATGAAGAGATGGAGGAAACCCTTTGTAATCATAGTGAAAGATTAGCAATTGCCTTTGGGCTAATAAGTACTGCACCAGGAACTACACTTAGGATAACGAAGAATCTCCGGGCATGTATTAATTGTCATTCAGCCACCAAGCTTATCTCGAAGCTTGTTAACCGGGAGATAGTTGTTAGGGATGCAAACCGTTTTCATCATTTTAAAGATGGAGTTTGTTCTTGTGGAGATTATTGGTAAGAGGCACAAGCTGTTTACATTTAGCATGAGCATTCTGGTGTTCAGCTCATCTATATGAAGGCAGTTTATAATCGTTTTATGAAATTTAGCTTTGTATCTGATATGAAATCGAGAAATCAGGTTACTTGCACAAATTCTTTTTGGTCTGATGACTGTGGTACAAAACGAAGGCAATCCTCCTCTTCCTTGAATTTCTTATGAGCATCTTCGAGGAGATCAGGATGCACAAATATTCCTAACAAGATTTGAGTGGTCAGTTCACTTCCTACCGCATCATATGCCAGATTTCATTTTCCAATGAAAGGAAGGAAGGATGCCTTTGCATGTTGCAGCCAGCAGGCAAGTGATAATATAAAAACTGTAAATTAGTACTTTTAACCTGAATCGTGAGTAGGTTTGTTTGATTTAACTAGTGTCTATAGTCTTTTGTGATAGGAAAATGACATTTATCATTAATAGTGCTGAAAACGTTTGAAATTCATGTTGAATCAGATGAAAAGTACCTCTGAATTTAAGAGCACTAACACTAATAACTTTACATTGTTAGCAAAGGAGTATATGTCATTGTTATGTATAAACAGTGATAAAGTCAATTAGCCGAGGCTAATTAATTATTTTCACCTACCTTACAGATAGAAATTTGCATTCAGATTCTTCTTTGGCCAACTTTAAACAAGACTAAAACAAAATGCCTCCCCTGGTGGAGATCAACATAATGATATAGTTTCATCTAGAACTCTAGAACAAATTTGATTTCATGACAGCATGTCATATATCTTCAGCCTACAGAAACATTTTAGTGGATCACATAACTGTACCAAAAAAATAGTGGATCCTATAATATCTCTGTAAAGAATATGATTGTTTTTGCCTTTGTATAACTTGCTCAATAAGGCAAAAAATTCAACCCAGGTCCCTGCTCATTATTCTCAGCATTGAAAACCCTATAAGAACTTTTGGGAGGCTATGGATTCCAAGGCCCCATATAGAAAAATAGGTATGGTGGTTTTCTGCCTTGCTGCTAGACTTGTGAAATTAAAAATGTTTTTTAAGCCATCAAAGGTTGAAATTCCCCATGGAAAGAAAAGATATGGTTCATTCCCTTGACCTTTGAAGTAGAGAATTAGTCCATCCTACTAACTTTCTTTATTCCCCAAAAAGTTAAGGCTAAAGTTACCAGATGCCAAATATATGCTGATATCCTGCATCATAATTTTGGTTAATTGACAAATTACATTAAGTTGGCATTTAGAATAGGCCAAAGAGTAGTGCCTTTTACTTGGATGAATTTTTGATTAGTTGTGATTAAGACTGTATAATAATTTAAAAGATTGCAGATCAAACCTGCAAGACAAAAAGAAATAAAAGAAAAAGATGGAATTTTGGATTTGATCTACTTCTTGAAGCAAGTAGAGGGTGGTTGTCCTTATAAAAACTTGATGCAGCCTCCTATTTCGGAATGGGTCAGTAATATAGAACTGGTGAAGTAATTTCTGTTAAGAATGGAGAAGTTTTTAACTTCCCTCAGAGGCTTCCAATATTCTAAGCCATTGTTAACATCAGATGCAGGAATGTTGGGAGTCTTCGAGGGAAATTGAAGACTGACTCTTTGAGCTCGGTGATGCTTCTGTTCTGATGAGTGATTATTAAAAAAATGCTTTTGCGTCTTTCTTGATGGACTTGGAAGAACAAGCATGCTCTTAACATGTGCTTGCCTCTCCAGTCTCCGCTAATTTTGTTGAACTCTTGTTTCTGATATATGCAAATATATGCATAGCATGTATGAACTAAGGTCCAAAATTTTTTAGTTCAGGATTGGAGCTACTGGATGAGGTATGCTTGCTATTTGTTGTATTTTTTTTATATGGTTAATAACATATTTTAGACTTGGATGTGCATTTTCTATGAGTAAACTTGTATGATCTTGGTGCCTTTTTTATATACGTTTGTTAAGCCATGAATGCTACAGTTATTTCATCTTCCCACTGAAGGGTAAAAATTATGTTTTCAGAGAATGTGACAAGTCCAGTATGTTTATCAGAACAAATCTTTTGAGATAGCAATGGCTCGCACCAAGGCAGAGAGCATTTGGCCCAAGCTATATCTTTGATGGCCTGGAAAAGAGAAAGAGACAATCTTTTTAGTTTATGATCTGTCTACAGCATTATTGTAGAGCTATGACATTATCATCTGGAAGACAAATTATTTATATTGTTCAGTGTCTTGCTAGACTCAATAACATGAGATGGATGGTGGGAATATTAATCACCAGGTTCTATGAACAAGGTTGAATTGCACTCTTTATCTTCAGTTTGGCTCATGAACAGGCCATGAAAATCCTTAAAAACTTTACATGTTAGAAAATTTCAAACCTATAAAAGTGTTCTCAAGAAACAAATTAATTTACTTAATGCATTAGCCACAGAAGCCCGTTTTATTGATATTAATATCAATGTTTAAAGATTTTATCCTATTCGTCTGCAAAATTATGTGATTGACTGGTTATAATAGGAGACATTTTCATTGCTTGTAAGTCAAGTAGCAGTGCAAGTTGCAAACTGATGCTAAAATCTGGCGCTCTCTGATCAACTTGTTTGGTTATTTGCAGTTGTAAACTCATGTTCTCATCTGCCAATTAGGTATGCTTTTCAAGAATTATTTCTCCTTTTTATACTTTTACAACAAAAAATACATGTAGTCAATTTTTAATTGCAATCACAAACAATTTTCGACTTGAAAATTATATCTACCAAGTATTTTTTCTGTAAGAAAGCTTGTAAATTGTAATGTCTGACATTAGAATTGTTTCCCTTCACTTTGTAGATTTAATGTGCGGTAAATCCTCTCAATATTTTAACTCTGTATCATTGTTTGGTTGAAGATCTTGAAAGTGAAACTGTGCATAAGAAAGGGATTGAGCTTATCTCCAAAATGCCACCCTAAACTAGTTTGAATCAACTGATAATCAATCCTCAATAATAATGCATTTATCAAAGGATTTCTCTTCATTGTCACTGTCTGTGTATCATCTATTCATGCAGAAATGTCTTGTCACTGGCAATTGGTTCCAAGAGACCATTGTTGCTTCTACCTTGTAGATTTGTTTTACAATGAGATTTTTATTCTCAATGTACAGTTGCTAAACATGAGATGATTGTAGTTTGCAGCAACCTTGGGATGATTATTGCAAGTTGATTACTGCCAGTAACTAACAAACTGTTGCTGCTGTCTGCAGAGGGTTTCTGGGTGCTTTAAATAGCATGTCGTGTATAGTTTGCACATGTACTAATGGCTTCTCTCTCTGTGTCTCTAGTAATAGTAGCATGCAGGTGATAAGATAATCACATCCATTGATTGGTTTCAGTGACCATGCTACACTGCTGGCGGTGATGAAATGTATTCTTCCTTCATCTTTTCCTTTTCCTCTCAGGGCAAGTTTTTGCTGTAAAAGTTATGCCTGTCAATCTAAGGTACTCGTTCTGATTTTGTGATGTATGAATTGTTTTGAAGTAAGAAAAGAAATCTAAAAGTGTAAAATTTCCAATTTGGAAATGCTTTTCCATGTCCATACGTATCTCAAACAAGGCAAATTTTAGGTGCTGAATGTGTTCACTCAAGCTTAACTGAGAGAAGTTGGAAATGAGGAAAATTGGAGTATAGCCAAAATCTCAGGGCTGAGAACTGTCAAAACCTCCTGGAAAGTGGAAATGATGGAGTATATGACAGTTTAAAGCCTTGGGAAATGGGAAATAATGTTGCATAATTTAGTGAAGTTCGAGTGAGTATACGTCGAACTGCTTTTAGTTGCAAGAGCTTGCCAGTATTTTATCGCTAATACTAAAGCAATATACTGAAAGTTTGGCTTCGTTGCTGTTGTGGTCTGAAAAGTGGAGATACAGTACGAAGTTAAAGGTATCCAGTAATCACTTGTGAGTATTCTCATTCAGTTTCTGTACATATATACCTATGATTCAAGAGCTAAACTCATAACGTTATACAGATAAAAATGCCTCATTTCTTCGTTCAATTAATTTAACTCAAAAGATTATGCTTTTCTTTGGCATGTAAAAACAGGTTTCTGGTGATCAGTTTCAAGTATAATCTGGTTAGATCTTTCTTTAGCATGGAGTAATTGGAATCTATGTCACTCTGACTCTTGATTTTTTTTTTTTTGAAAATATTCATGTCAGATACATATCCGATGAAAATGTATTTGGAGTTTAGACGATTCAAATATATGAAAAAAAACTTTTTAAAGGATTTTGAATGCATTTATGTTGAACATATACGTACTTATATCTGACACTCACTTCCAAATTCGAGTAACAAAGATCGGAATGTAAGGAAGGCAAGATGTTGGATGGTGAAGAGCTGTAGTTACTCTCATAACCTACAAACAAGAAGCTGCCATCATAGTCGATTTGAGCTCATGGATGTGGTTAACAAACCAGCAAAAGAAAAAGAAAACAAGGGGAAAATATCTAATAAAATTCATGCTAGGCATTGGATAGATCTAACGACATGGATACACAGTAGAACGTAACCCCTCATTTCCTTGAATCCCAGTTTTGTTTTCAAATGAAGGAAAAGAAGCACACCTTTGCATAACTTGCAGGGGGAGAAGTTCAGGTGAAAGTATTGCCAAAAACTGTGTTATCGGTAGGTTTAAGTCATTTAACTGGAACTTTCGGTTGGTTTCTGTAATTTCAATAGCATCCGTTCTGAAGCAGAATTGTGTAAATAATCTGTGACTTTTTCATAATATTTTATTTATCACATTTTTAAGTTATTTTAAATCTATTCATATTCGTCGGCACACCATTGAAAAGTGAATGGAATATTAGTAAAAATTTGTTAAGTGGTGCATGTTTAGATGGACATACATGTGGTAAATTCCGTCAATATTCTTAATGGTATGTTAATAAATGAAAACAATTAAATTTAAATAAATTTAACAGGTCATGGTTAAAAAAAGTTAAATTTTAATGTCAAAGATGAAAATATGGCAAAGTGATAGTTTGGGAGTAATGGTGCAATCTGCTCCACAGTCTGCTATGGTACCTCAGCTAGGTGGATAAATTTTGCAGGGTCAAAAAAGTTAAAAACATTTTAAGAGAAACCTAGTGATGGAAGGTTGGAAATGAGATGGTCAGATGGACCAATTTTGCTAGCAATAATATGAAGAAAACTTTTCTCTTGATTGAGTTACAAACAAATAAGAATACAGTTTTAGGGTTTCAGCTTAGATCAATACCATGATTTCAAGGGATTCTGAGGGCTGCAAGCTGTATATATACATATCTGTCATCTATAACAAGGCCAGATAATATCTGTGCGCAAGGAATATGCTTGTTTTAGCCTTTGCTCAACTTGTTCAATATGGTAAAAAATAGCAACCCGGGGTTGTTGGCCATTATTCTTCACTGCTTCAAATCCCTTACAAAAACATCTTGTAGTCAATGGATTCCAAGGCCACTGTAAATGAATAGGTATAGTGGTTTCCTGTCCTTGCTAATAGATTTGCCAAATTAACAATGCATTTAGTACCCATCAAAGGTTGAAATTCCCTTCGGAAAAAGAAAAAAATATTGCACATTCTCTTGACCCTTCAAGTATAGCATTGGTCAATATGTACAAAACCCTTTTCTTTATTCCCCAAACTTTATCCTACGGTTAATTATCAGATTCCAAGCACATGTGGTTTTCCATGGCGCCTAATAATCTTGGCAAACTATACAATTACATTAAGTGGATATCAAATTATATCAAAGTATAGAATAATTATTATGCATGGCTGGAAAATTTGATCACTTGAGAGTTGAGATCAACAACATATATATATATATTTGTATGTATGTATATATAATAGTATTAAAAGATGCAAATCAAACCTGAAAAACAAAAGTAATTACACAAAGGAACAAATGCTAATAAACTGCGAATCTGATTGATTTCTTTAGACAAATAAAGGGTGACTATCTATCCTTATATAAACCCTATGCAACCTCTTACTTTTGGTGTAGGATATGTAGAATGGTTAAATCTTGCTTAGCTAGATTGAATAGATAAGCTTTTAACAACCCTCAAAGGCTTCCGATAGTCCTAGTTAGCATCAACTTGGGGATGTCGATGGGGAACATTGGAAGTCTTTGAGGCTATATTAAAGGCTTACTCTTGGAGCTGGCTAGGTGATGCTTCTGTGTCCCAAATGAGGAGATTATTTATAAGCTTTTGCACTGTTACGAATGGAGTATAGGTCGAGCTCCTACAATTCGGGTTACTTGTTAAAGTATGAGATGCATGCAGTCAATTCCATCTCTTCCATTCGCTGACAATAAACCCTAATCCATCATGCATGAGGATGAGGTACGTGTTTCTACTTTCTAAGTTTCATTGACAAACCTGAAAAACGCATGCCCATGTACCATTTGATCAACTCAACGTGTAATCCTCAAAGGTTTGGCCATGGAGACAATATTTGTTATTTGGACTCATCTTCTTGGATATATATATGGGTAACTAATGAGTATTAATTTAATCTTAATGAATAAATCATCTTTTTGATCACTTAACTTTTCAAGATTAATTTTTTTTGAGCACTTTATTTTGAAAAATAATGGTTTGATCACCAATATTTATAAGTATTTTTCGTTTTGGTTATTTAGCCATTAAAGAATAACAAGTCTCCCTTTAAAACATAGGACTGAAAAATCAAAATTATTAAAAAAATACTTCAAGAAGTCTATCATTGTCACTTTTTTTTACCAAAAAAAAATTATTTGCTCTCACTGATTATTTATTTATGTGTACAAAATGGTTATTAAACATAAATCTTAAAGATATAATAGAACTCGGTGATTAACTACATGTTGCATTGAAAAAATCTATCAACTGAGCATTTGTCAATGTAAGACAAGATGATCGTGCTCCTACAAAGTTTTTCTGAAGCAAAATGTTATGAAAGAAATTTGCAAATTACTTGTAGGAAGAGGAGAGATTGGTCGCAAATAAGATTTTGTATTTTTTAAAGAAATAATAAAAATCTTATTTATAAACAAAGATATGTCTGAAAATCAAAAGAGTTCTATATATAGATAAAAATATGTCTATTTATAGAAACACTACTTTTTGAACAAAGATAATTTCTTGAATATATTTAGCAATTTTTTTGAACAATATAAATGTGCAAGACTTTCTTCCTTTCATTGTTTTTAATTTAAGATTGTGTCCCGAACTATTATTGTTGGTCGACAGAGATAGGGGAAGCTTGTTTTGTAAATGAGATTGAAGCAGTGGAGTTGATTTGGGTCTAAAGGATAAACATTTGTCTTACTTGCATCATGATTGCAATCCTCCACCTTTGTTCATGGATACATTTGGAGCAACAATATTATGTTGAATTCTGATTTAGAGGCACAGCTACACTAATGGGAAAGCATCCAGGGGAGGAGCTGCTATCATCATCTTGTTCCCACGATATAATGTTAGGAAATGTATTAGATCCAAGGAATCAAATATATTGTTGTACAAATAACTTCCCTGCTGCTGCATTAGCCTTTGCAGGCTTACACTTGAAGCCTAAGTCCAGACCAACAATGATATTTATGGAACATAAATCAATTCTGATAAAATATAATTTGAATTTGGTTTTGCATAAATCTGTACCTTTCCTAGTTTGCAGGCATGTTGGAAACGTTATTCATCGGTACATGATAGAGAAATCCATTGGGTATTGAGTGATGCAATGGATAGCAATCCTCTCCTATCTTGAGTCCCACCCAACCATCCCAAAATTCAAAACCAAAACTTCCATATTTACATGACATCTCAAGTTTTACCTGTTGATATGCCACCGTTGAGACTTTTGTGTACAACCATTAATGATATTGTTACTGAGAAATAGAGATTAGATAATGAAGAAACCAAAAAAAAAAGAAAAATGGGTTTCTATGTGCTGTTCTTCTGAAGATAGTTTGTTGTTCAGAGGGTACAACAGTGTCACAAATTGACTTCCTCAGAGCTTGGATGATTTTATAAACTAGTGAAAATTCTCATAATTGGAATGTAACCTGAAAAGGATCTAAGCATCCCACGTTCAGAGAGAAGAGAGGTATCTGCATGCACCGTACTTGACATCACTCTGAATAATAAAAATTGAACCACAACAAAACTAAATGTTACTTTACAATCACAATCAAGAGCAGATTAAACCCGTATAGCTTTACAATCTAGTCATAAATGAATTTTGACCCCAAATGAAAAGGGTTTGAAAGAATGAGGCCTGCACACTATCAGTGCCAGGTGAATCAAAATTACAATGTTCTGCAGAAGAATGCCCTACATCATTCAACATATACACCAGACAACGGGTGAACAATCCACTATTTTGCTATACGAAGAAGGATTTATACCAAATCTCCGAACCTGAGATGAAAGCAAAAGCAAAAGACATAGTTTGCGATTTGAAAAACATGAGTTACGCTTTTTCTGAAATGTAATAAAAATCAGATAGATAATACTAACACACAAAACCATTACTATACTGTTCAGAGTCAGAGCAGCTGTGCAGTATTGTTGTTTCCTAACTGAGAAAATGCAGTTGTTTTTGCTTCTCAGTTTAGATGCTTAAAGACCATTCAATATGTATAAATAGAAACCAGGCCATGGTTTAACTCCATAGTGAACATTTAGGATAACTTTAAACAAAGACTAATTAATGAAGTTAATAAGAGGAAAAACAAAAATGCAGGGCTTCCCACAAATTAAGTTAATAAGAGGAAAAACAAAAATGCAGGGCTTCCCACAAATTAACTTAAAAAGTGACACTGGGAAGCTCAAACATTATCACAGATTATGTCCTAAAAGAACCCTGCATGGTATAATTAGCCACTTGAATCTTCAAATGG